TTTACTGTTATTGAAACAAGAACTGTTTGGCAGTGACCCAACTCATCTGATAGCTGTTTTATTGTCTAGCTAAGACTGTAAGCACTGTATTGCATAAGAATGGGGTGAGTAGACATCCTTAGCTTGTTCCTGATTTTAGTAGAAATGCTTTTTTTCCCAATTAGTATACGTTGGTTATACGTCATATATAGTCCTTATTATGCTGAGATCTGTTCCTTCTATTCCTAGTGTCCTCACATTTTCTTCATCAATTGAGACAATCACATGATTTCTGTCATTGAATCCATTATGTGATGTATTACATTTATTTATTATATATACTGAATTATCTCTGGAATGACACACACTCAATTCCATCTATTAATTTGGCTATTTAAATTGGATTATCAAGGACCAGTGGCCAAACCTGGCTTATTGAAATCAACTTGTTGACCTCAACTCTGGTAATAGGGTCATAGACACCAGTCCCATCTTCAGGATCAAATTGGGTATGCTTGGTTCTGTGCCCATGGCAGCTCACCTCACTCTGGGTAGTTCTCCACAGTTTCTGGTGCATGATGTGGAATCTGTGTCTAAGTTTTTCTGCAGACTCTAGAGTTCTGACTAGTTTTCCTCCACCCAGAATACTGCAGGGTTCAATTTGAAGTTTCTTCCCTGCAGTCTGGAGGTATCTGCCTGCCAGGTTTCAGCATATAATCCTGGGACATTTGGGCTGAGTTTCCCAATACTTTGGTTCGTGGAGGATCTGAATGCCAAGCTGCTCACTCAGCAGGGATCTTTCCACAATGGCATCTCACTGCTGCTCAGATGCCCAGAGGATTTTTCAGTCTCTCTTCTTCATGATGCAGCTATGGGTAACTGTGTCTCCATTCCTCCATCTTTAATTTTAAAAATATCTGTTACTAAAAATAGGCACTGTGTTTTTTAGCATGGCTCTGGTCACTCCCTGTCACTGGGACGGGAGCTTCCCAGAACAATTCCTCCAGGATAGACTGGATTTTTCCTGATCTGCTTTGCAAAGTTTCCTATTTTACTGTTATTGAAACAAGAACTGTTTGGCAGTGACCCAACTCATCTGATAGCTGTTTTCCAACTTCCCCAGTTTATTTCTTGGCGAGTATAAGAGTATGTCTGTCATCCACCATCTTCTTCCTCCAGATCCACCTGTGTTGCGTGTTAGACACATTGACCTATATGTCAATACTAATAAGCTCTTAGATCAGTGCCTGATACAAAGTAGATGTTTAAAAATATTGTTGAATGAAGCACAAATTCTGGTCTGACCTTCCTTGGTTCTTTCCTAGCATTCCTGTTTTCACCTCTCACACTTGCTCTCTATTTTTGTTCAGTTTATATCAAGCCACATTTGTTGCATGGACTCCTTCTTTGCCCCACTTCACAAGCTCCTGTTATCCTCTGCACACATTCCACATTGCTTTTCTCTGTCACTCTCTGCCAGAATGCCTTGGTATTTGGGTCACGGCAGGTCTCTCTTCCTAGTTTTTCCTTACTGCCTTAGACCTCACTCTGCAGCTTAGTAAGTCATAGTACATTGGAAAGAAATAGCAAAACAAACAAACAAACAAGCTTTGGTGTGTCAACTCAAAAACCCAACTCTCACCTCAGGGAATAGAAATTATTTATTTTGGAGACAAACATGAATGACCATTGCTCAGGAACACAGATTTGGGTCATCCCAAATTCCGTATACATTGGTAGAAACATCAGAGAGGCAGGTTACAGCAAAGCAGGGAAACCGTTGTTACAGGTCTCAGATGCTGTCTGATGATAGTTTTGGCTTTTGGGCTGGTAGAAACCAGTGGTCTGCTAAGTTAATACAGCCCAAAGGAAAATTAGTGCTCTGCACTTTCCAAATGATTTACCTAATGGTCACAAAGATGTTAGGCTATGTAAAGAGGAGGCTAATGATGGCCCAAGAAATGTAGCAAATGAGTTTTTTTTTTTTTCTTTCTGGGACAGGGTCTCCCTGTATCCCCAAGCTGGCATGGACTTGCTATGTAGACCAGAATGGCCTTGAACTCAAAGAGATCTATCTGCCTCTGCCTCCCAAGTGCTGGGATTAAAGGCATGTACCACCACACTGGCTTTGATTTGTAATTCAGCTCTGGACTTGCAATATTCCATACTCTCCACAATCGTTGATGTTCTAGTCAACCAGTCTTACAGAAGGAAGGTTTGATTTGAAGCTGTAGCTTCTTTCTGGGAACTTTTGTTTACAAATGTTTCTATATTTTAGAAGTTTAGGAGCACTGATGGCATAGTTCCACTTTTATACCTGTTAGTGGGAGGGACCTCATCTCATCAACAATGTGACATTTCCTCTTGAAATGTACTCATCCAGTAGAGCTAGATTCCTACCCAGATCCTCACAAGTGTGTGTTTAAAAAGGCAAGGTAAATATTGACCCAACATTCATTCCATAAGACCTCTGTCCAGCATTCAGCTCGTTGGCAGTTTTCATTAGCCCAGAATGCCTCTGTCTGCTGTTTCTCAGGATGGCACCTTTATTCCCTGTGCACACTGATACCTCCCCTCTCTGGAGTGCCTTTCTTGTTTCTCTGGCTTTCAGACTCTTATGTGGACTACTTCTTCTCCTGTCTACTTCTCCTGTCTTACCTTTAGATAACAGAATCCTTTACTTTCAATGTTCTGGTGTTCACAATGCATTGATTCATGGTAGTTCACAGCAGTTGAACACTCTCTTCTTGGACTTGCCTTGACAAACCCATCAAAGAACATCATTGGCTAGTCTACTCACATTAAACTGGGTATTTTTCTTATCTGTATTAATTTGTGTCTCCAGAATTTTGTGTCTCAAAGTGTTAGTACCTCAAGGCAGGAGTCCTTCTGTCCACTATATTCAAGCATCTAGTCATGACTTAAACAGCTTAGGCAGACAAAGAACATTTACTTAATTGAATGTATTCCTAACTATACTCAAATCCATTTGTAGAGGCAGATACTTCAGATTTGTTCTTTATTCAGCATCTTCTGTCAATTTTGTATGAAATGACAAGATCTGGATTTGGAATTAATGGATCTGGGTTCAAACTCTGCCTGTGTGGCCCTGAACAAGTCACTTAATTTTTTCGAAGTATAAGTTTCTTCAGTTGTTAAATGGGGGTAGTACTACAGTTGTGGGCACCGAAATGAGATATCTGGGTAGAAAGTTATGAAACTGTGTAAAAGATTGTGAACACTGCCTTCTCATGCTCTAGTCTCAGTGTCTTCTGGGCAGTGATCAGTTACCATTCCTGCTGGGGGATTCCATTGTATGCCTCAGCATAGGGCGCTAGACATGACTTGGTCATGAAAAGTGCCCAAGTCTCATTCTCATTAACAGATACCTTGGCTCAGTTTCAACAAATGTCATTTACTTGAATGCAGATAATTCTTTTCTGGTTCCCAATGTCTTCCGTATTTGCTCATTCGTTCATTCATTCATTCATTCATTCACTTACAAGTTAACATAACTGTTTAGAGTGACTAGCATGGGCCATGAAGCATGCTGGTAGATACCCCAGAAGTAAATACTTGAAGAGGTTCATATTGTTCTGAGTGAAACACACAGCAACAGATTATAACAACAACAAAAAGAACCATCCTCTCTTGTGGCAGGTATGTACAGGGTGTACAGTTCAGGGAAGATCAGTTGTGCTTAGTGAGGCCCTGAGTGTCCTGAGAGCTTTGCTCTCTTAAGGATTGATTGGGTGAAGAAGGTGGAGCAATTCGAAGGAAAAACACAAGCAAAACAAAAGAACCCTGGAAACAATTGGTAGCTCAGTCTTCTGACTTCATTCATGGTTACTCTGGATCAAGTACTCATTATGTGCCAGGCCCTAGACAGCTGAGGAGTCAGTGAAAGCTTCACAGGGATCGATGGGGTGGTGAGGTGCAACAAAACTAGTCAGTTTCGAAGCGACTTGGACAAGCATTTCACTCCATATGGCACACATGAGAAAGGGTTAAATAGATGTGGGAATCTCCACCACAAAGGAGTGCTTTCTACCAAAGATGCTACGAGGTGCTGTGTCAAAGGACAGGCTAACGTATCTACACTGGACCAGAACAGTCGCACTCAAGCAAGTCCAAGTATGTCACAAATAGTCACCTCTGAGCATTAAGCGTCTTTTTCGTCAGGAAATACAAATTTAAACAACGCGGCACTCAGGCTTAAGATAAAGCAGAAGAAAACAACCACCAAGGCTGGTGGTGGCACTTTAGGGAACAAAAAGGGTAAATGAAAAAACGAAGAGTTTGGTAGGGGAAACCGGGATTCTACACTCTGGAGCCGAGAACTTAACAGCAAGGGAGAAGAGGCGATCTCCTGTGGGCCAGTCCTTCCCATCAGAGGAAGGAGAGGCGCTCCGCGGTACCTAGGCAACCGTAAGCCCGCCCTCTCCGGAGCCAACCCTTCGGTGATTGGCTCACGATTTTCCCCAATGGGCGCTCCTGGGAACTTCCCGCCACCTCAGGCGCCTGCTTCAAACAGCCGCAGGTTAGCAACCGCGGGCAGCGGGTCAACCGACCTTGCTGGAGGCGGGCTCTTCCGCCCCTGGCCACGCCTACCTGCCAGTCCCGGGCGAGTGGCGGCGGCGATTGGAGGAGGCGGCTGCTCTTCAAGCGGCAGGGACTTGGGGGCTAGGTTGTGACGAGGAAGGCGCTCGGGGGGGCACGCAGCGGGGTGGGGAGGTGCGCTGGTAGTTGCCAAGCTGAGAGCCACCTCTCGGCCGGCGGGAACAGCGCGGGGGACAGCGGAGCGTGACCCAGGCATCCGCAGGTCGGTGCCCGGCTTCGGACAGTGGCGTGCCCGCGAGCGCTTTCCTCACAGACAGCCCGCTCCAGCCTCGGTGGACGCTCTGCCCGGCCCGCTGCCCCGCTGCCCCCCACGCCGCACCGAAACCCTGCAGCCCGGAGCCGCCGGGCGCTGTGGCGCGTGGGCATTGTGCGCCAGGCCCAGCCGAGGGGGGGCCCTCCTGGGTCTTGGGGTTACTGTCGTTCCTCCCCATCCTGGTTGGTCCACGCTGCTGTCAGTGGGTCCGGACTCCGCTGAGTGCCATCATTTAAGCCCTGTGCAAAGTGCACGCTGAAGGAGCAGCCTTGGCTTTGCGAGCTGCAGGTGAGGTTTGCTTGCCTATGGGCGGTCCGTTTGTTCTTTTTCATACGTAGGTAGATCCTGTTTTTACCCCATTTTATCGAGGAAGAAACGGAAGCAGTTTAAGATTGCGCAGGTGACACATTGAAGAACCCAAACTGAGCCCAGGCTATTGAATGAGCATCCTCGTTGTTTAGCTACTTACAGCCATAGTGTATCCTTTAGGATCTATCCAAGATCTATTAAGATGTCATCTAACGCCAGCGCCCCCCCCGCAATTCCCCGGGAACTTCTCCAACCTTCGGAGCCGGTTTGTGCTAACTAGTTGTTAGTTGTTGCAGAGTTTATTACAGTCACTATTGTAGCCGTTCGTTTATGCCACTGCATCCCTAGGAGACTGACAGCCTCCCCATAACTGGTACCATGGGTTACATACCTCTAGGATATAATCTCACGCTGAGTAACATTCAATATTATATTGTATTGAAATAATGAGTTCCTGCTGGGTAACATGGATTGTCATTATTTCAACAGCTATTTTGTGTGTGTGTCTACCATGTTTAAAGCATAGATAGACTTATTTCTGCCTTCAGAGTGCTTTTAGTTTTGTAGCTTAGGTAAAAACAGTGCTGTTTGGTTTGTGATCTTTCATCCAACTAAACAACAATTGATTTTTCCTCTTTGTAAGGAGGACAGTGAAAACAACAGTGAGTGCTGGGTGGGAGGGCCGGCTGATCTGAGTTAAGAAATGACAGATTATGCTCTTTATGTTCTTATTGATGGGTTCAGAAAGTTTCCTATCTGCACTGAAAATCTTAGCCAGCTAGGTATATTTTTAAAAAACACACTGTCCACATGCATCTTGATTTTTTAAAGTGGTTAGCCCTCTGAGTCAATACACACAGGAGTACATTATTTCTACTAATGGCATGATATTGACAAATTAATTCAGAGGTATTTTACTAGGGCAAATGTTTATTTTCAGTATGGTAGTATGGATGATTTTCAAGATGATTTTAGCAGCCATATTTTACTAGCAGTTCATTAAAAACACAAAAAATACAAAATAGTCAATGTGAAGTGTTAGCTTTTTTTTTTTTCAATGTAGCACTTCAAGGTGGCTCTTTGTTGCTGAAATTACAGTTTCTTGAGTTCCATGAGTTCAGCATCTTTTTGTGTGTAGGTATGTGCACATGGTGTGTGTGCATGTGTGTATGTGCTGGTGCTGTGGTGACTGTGTGGAGGTTATGGACAATCTTGGTGTCGGTCCTCACTTTCCACCCTGTTTGAGGCAGGATCTCTGTTGTTTTCCACTGTGTGGGCCACGCTAGCTGGCCCACGAACTTCTGGACATTCTCCTTTGTGCTTCCCAATTTTGTAGGATTACAGATGATATGTGTCCAGCTTTGACCTGGGTTCTGGGGATTTGAACTCAGGTCTTCATGCTTGCATGGCAAGTGCTATAAGCCACAGAGTCATCTCCCCAGTGTGAGCCCAGAATCTTAGACTATTCAGTGAGCATTTACATTCTTTTTTCTTCTTTTTTCCTGTATATTTTTATTGAAGTTTTGTGTATTTCATGCACAATATCTTAATCATCTTTGTACCCCATTCCCTAGCTGCACCCTCCTCTATGCGCCCCCTCCACTGGATTTCATGAATTCTGTCATTTATATTAAGGCCTATCAAGTCAAGTTAGTGTCCCTAGACATCCCTCAGTGCAAGTTCATCCATTGGGGTCTAGTCAGCCTATCTAGGCATCTACATTCTTTTAAAAATAAATTTTCATGTTATTTTCCCATTCTTAAGTTATCATTTTCTCATTTCCTTGGAAAAATTGCTTACTGATATTTTATAGGGTGTTTTATATATATTTGTACAATTATAATTTTAATTCTTGACTTTGTTAATGCATTCTATGGTACATAATATTTGACTTACTATTGATGCCTTTTGCCTTATACATATTTTGTTTTTTGTGGTTAGGTTTTTTCAGCCTTTTCCTTTGTAGTATTATCTTAAGATTTAAAAAATATTGTTAAAAAATTTATTATGTGTGTGTATGTATTTTTTTTTTAATGAGTGTGTGTGTTTGTGCACATCTGTACAGTGCCCACAGAGGCCAGAAGAGGGCATTGGATCCCCACAGGAGGAGCTACTTGACATGGGTGCTTGAGAACTGAACTTGGGTCCACTGCAAGAGCAACAAGTGCGCTGAACTCCTGAGTCACTCTCCAGCCCCACTTTGAATATTATAATAATGTCTATTATAGCAGTGGTAATTAGTAAATATATTAATGACCTTTTTAGTCCTTGTTTCCCACCTTCCCATGGTAAGTACATCAGGTTTTCCTTAGATCTAAAATAGTTTCTTATGGTCTCTGGCAGTTTATACTTTTTAGCAGTTAAACCTATTTATACCTTTCCTTTCTAGTTTATTATTTTAATTTTTTGTTTGCATCATCTTCCGATTGTAAGTACTTTCCAGCCAGTTCAGAGATCTGTTCAGTTTTGTTACCTATTTGCATTTTTTTCTCTCCTATGACTTGCTGTCATGGGCTGTTTTCTCTGAGTCAGGACCATCTCCCCCTCTCACAGGAGGACCATGTCGTTGGAATTTGGCAGTGTTGCACTACACACACAAAATGAAGATGAAGACTATGACAAAGAAGACTACGAAAGGGAGAAGGAGGTGAGTTCCTTGGAAAAAGCCCCTGAGCCCAGTGCTTCACAGCTTTTATTTGCTGACCAAAATTATGTCCTTTAAAGGGATTTTTAATTCATTCAAAATAAAACAAAGCAAAACTCTGTTAACCTGATTGATATTTAGACTTTCTCATAGTTTTTATCAGCTTTATACAAACCTAGGCACACTGGGGAAGAGGGAATCTCAGTTGACAAATTGCCTCTCTTAGACTGACCTTTTGTCATTGGGGCATTTTCTTAATTGCTAATTGAAGTAGGAGGGCTCAGCCTCCTGCTGTGGGAGGAACCATCCTTGGGCAGACTGATCTGGACTGTGTAAGAAAGGTAGTTGAGCAAGCGAGGGGAAGCAAGCCAGTGAGCAGTGTTCCTCCATGGTCTCAGCCTCAGTTCCTGCCTTGGATTCCATCGATGATGAAATGTAACCTCTAAGTCAAATAAACCCACTTCTCCCCCAAGTTACTAAAAAATTTTTTTTTATATTCATTTATTGTGTGTGTGCGCGCACGTGTGGTATACAGGTGTGAAGACCATTTTTAATTCTAGCACTTGGAAAGCAGAGATAGGATCCCTGGGCAAGCTAGGTAGCCAGAATTGGCAAGCTCAGGGTTTAGCAAGAGACCCTGCCAAAATAAAATAAGAGGGATCAGGGAAGATACTGATGTCAAGTCTAGGCCTCCACAAGTATGCTCATTCATATATATGTGCACCCTCTACACTTGTCCCTGCTCACAGGTATGTACCCACACCCTTGCATACACACATGCACACGTTTACACACCGATGTGTAAACGATAAAGAGGAGAGGAATGCATCTTTGAGACAAGGATAAAGCAGAAATTGCATCAGATGACTAAATTCTTTAGGAATTCTTTAATGAGAAGATAACAGCTTCCTTTGAAAGGAGAGGCCTAACTTTTGGGTATTTGGACCATGGCTGTGATGCTTCAGGTAGTTTATTTCCATCCTCATGGGGACAGATTGACCAGTGATGAAGAAATAAGGGTGATAGGAAAGCAATGGGTTGGGGGACTGCAGTAGATCAGGTGGAGGGAGAAAGAACCATCTGTGCAGGAGGCTGGAGAAGAACATTCTAGGTCCAAGACACCAGCAAAGGTACAGGGAATTGAGGGAGAGAACCGGTATCTCCTGAGGTCATGGCAGTTAATGTTAACGAGGGTAAGTGGTGGTCATTGGTAGGCTGGTGCTTACATTTTTAAGAACAATGAGGAGCCAATGGAAAATTTTAAGTGGGAAAGTGAGATCTGATCATTTTTTTGAAATGTTGTTTGGGATACTGTGTGATGAATAGTTCATGAAACGAAAGAAATAGGAATAAGAGGCCACATGAAGTGTTTAGCAGAACTCTTGGAACATAATAAGCATTCAGTAAATGGAAGTGATAATAAGAGTAGTATAGTATTATAAGTGAAAGTCAGTATACTTGTTTTGATTATTTTTAGTTTGAGTCAGATTTCTTGATTGTGATAGAAGGCTTCTTTTATACTGAGACTATGCCTGCTAATTTGTTAACTGATTCTTCTAAGTAGTTACATTGGACCATCATTATCAACAACAACAAAAAAGTAAGGAACTAGGTAGTTGACCAGTGCCCACATAGCTTCCAGCAGTGTTAGGGAACAGATAGAAAACTTGAAGCTTACTTAATTTTGGCCATAGTTATGTATTATTTGGTTGTACAGCATTTTTTTTAAAACAAATATTTATAAGGAAAATTTTCATGCAACACTCCAGAGTTTCTAACTTATCTTGAAACTTAAGTCCTGGCCATGCTGCCTAGTGTTTGCATGTGACAGCACGTGAGGAGAGCTGAGCAGAGGCTCTCCTAGAAGGCCAATTTCCACTTTTCATAGGGACACACGGGCATGTGCCTCCTCTTGTATCTTCCCTGGGAACTTTGAATTTGTGACAGGTTCCTTTTGAACAATTGTTGATGAGAGTATGGAGATGAGACTTTTTTGTTAGTCTCAGAACTCAGAGTGAAAGTCTTCATGACCTTGATATCTTTGGATATTTAGCAGGATCAATTTAAATAATTACTGCTGGGAAGAACAAAAAATATTGCCAGGTGACTTTTCACTGAGAAGAGTATTAGAGAGATGAATAGGATGTCAGGTAGTGAAAATTTTAAAGTGGATTTTGAGGAGGCAGTTCTAGATAATATAGAAAATACCATTAGGCTGATTGATTTAATAGATTGAATTCTGGGATAGGGACTTTGTAGAGGAACTTTGAGGAGTTAAAGCATCTAAGAAAGTATCTCTAGCAGAGTGAAAAAGAATATAGCACTGATGTGTCTCAAGAAACCTCATGTTAATAAAATTGTTTCTACTTAAAAAAATTGCTATAAAGAAAAAATATGGTTGGATGCTGGAGAGTTTCAGATTTTTAGTAACAAAATTCAGACATTTATAAAAATGAGCTATTTATGTAATTTGTCCCTATAAGTTAAAATAGCATGTTTGGTCAGGCATAGTGGTACATTCCTTTAATCCAGCACTTGGGAGGCAGAGGCAGGCATATCTCTGTGAGTTCAAGGCCAGCCTGATCTACTAGGGCATCCCAGGCCATCCAGAGCTACACAGTAAGAGCCTGAAAAAACAAAAAGAGTAAGTTGGCTGATCAACCCTAAACTTCCATGATATCTAAGTCTTCTAAGTCCTCAGCCTAGATTATAGTAGCAGAGCAATTCACAGCCTTGTGAGGTTAAAGAGTACAGTGGTCCTTTCCTCCCTGCCTGGTTGATAGCCTTGGGATATAACTGTTATAACTGTTAGCAGTGGACTAATATACATTGTGTTCTCTACTTAGTGAATCACTCACTTTGCATTCATTTAATTTATGAAGGGGACACTCCTGTTTCCCAAATATGTGATTGTTGACTGAGTATACCACTTTGCGCTTGTAATATACCCTGCTAAGGATTTGGAGTAGTTGATAATCCTGACTTTAACCTTCTAATATGAGTGGCCAGTTGCTAATACAAAATTCTTTACCAAGCTGTGTTTAACTTTGTTGCTTAGGGGCCCTTTGGGAGTTTGTTCACATTTACCTGTAAGTCAGTGACTAAGCCATTGTCCGTTCCTGGCCTCCCTCCTGTCTTAATTAACAGCTCTACAGTTATACCTTGCCTTTGCCATTTCTGTTCTGTTCTTTTTTTTTTTCCCCCTCATTGTTTGCACTGAAGATCATGGAGAGAAGGCATTTACTCTTCAGAAAAGGAAAGGACTTTGTAAATAAGTGACAATATTCAGACAACATTTAGACCAGGGGACTCTTAAGCCATAGACCATCAAGGATAGATACATATTTAAAAACAAACAAAAAACAACCCTTTAAGAATTTTCAGAAAAGACAGTATTACATATATTTAAATTGTTATAACTCAGTGGTACATTGGTGAAATTGAGTCATTGGGGACTAAGGCATAGCAGAGAGGTGCAGCATCCACAATGTCACAGTGGGTCTACAGTCTCTTACAGTCACGAGGACAGATTAGGGTTAGGTGAGTTGAGGTGATGATACCATGAAATGTCCATATCAGTTAATCACCACACAGTACTTGTTATTCATGTTCCTTACAAATTACTGGAACACACCAATTTTTGTTGGTACCCTTTGAGAACTCCTGATGCAGGTGATGTGGCTACTCAGTATATACCTCACCTAAGTATTGTAGGCTCAGAAAAGAGTTTTTTAACGTATTCACTTTAGTATAAAAATGGGACTTTGCAAAATACAGTTCCCCTTAAATGACTATATTTTATGATTCCATGGTTTGCTTTTACAGAGGTGGTTGTTAAGTTTTTGATAAGCATGGTGGTTATAAGTTTCTCAGTTATTAGTGAAGTAGAGGCTTGAAGTAGATTGTCACTTGGGAATGTCACAGGTTGCTGGAGTATGTGTTTCTGCAAGCTCACAGGAAATAACTGTGATTACTGCTTGGTTCTAGGTAGTGAAGTTGTTTATGTTTGTATATAGTTTGGAGATGGTGGTTTGGAGGAGAAATACTCTGATACTACTTGATTGCTTCATTAGTGACAGTATATTTAAAGTGAGCTTGAGGAAGGGAGGTGGTTTGTATGACAGACGAATGACAGGAGGTCCCTCCACAGTGCTCCCTTGGTCCTTCTGGGCTCTTATACTGGTAATTTCTTTAATATAATAATAAGTCTTCTTCCAACATAGAATTGTGTATTTTAGGTGAGTTGATGTCATTATGGAAACACTTTGGTGGTTTGCTTCCATTAGAAGGAGTTGTAAAGGTGGTAATTACATTCTACATGATCTGACTTATTTAGTGGAATTATCTTATTGTTCAAGAAAATTCAAGAAACAAATGGTTGTTAATTAATTGTTTTATTTTGCTTTGGGATTTATCTAATTTTATGTGTAGGAGTCTTTAGCCTGTATGTCTATAAGTGTACCTATGTGTGCAGAGTCCCTGAAAGCCAGAAGAAGGCATTGGACCGCCTATAACTGGAGCTATGGACAGTTGTTAGCCACCCTGTGGGTGCTGGGAACCAAACCTAGGTCTTCTGCAAAAGCAGCCAGTATTTTTAATCTCTGAAGCATCGCTTCAGCCCCTAATATCGTATTTTTTATGTTAGTTTATCTATTGCGTAGACTTTATCTGGATTGCATTTCATGCATTTCCCCCTGTAATATCCAGATAATCCTTTTCAAGGACTATCACAATTGAAATGAAAATAATGAATGGTTGTTTGTAGGACTAAAAGTTAATTGTATACGATCAAGTAGATATGTCTTTAGTGACTGACTGAACATCACACGGAAGAAGAGACAAGTGAAAACAGGGAGATTTAAGTTGAGATTGTAGCTCTGGGACTTGAATGTCCTTTCTCCTTGTCTTGCCCCATGTGCTGTTGGACCTTGATTTGCTACTTTTAGAAGGACAGGCTTGGCTTAGAGGAGCCCCAGTGTTAATTCTACGATGGGTCATCTCTAGTGCAGCACATACTTGTCTGATATATGTTGCCATCTCTTTCAGATCTGCAGCAACTTAGACAAATTCTTCCCTATTAACACAGCTTAATTTAACTAATGAGAGGTGTTTTTTGTTGGTCTTTTTCATCCTGAACATGGCATGATTCATAAACTAAAGCTGTGGCTGCCAAGTTATTCTGGCCCTTTACCAATCCCATATGAGGCTTTCTCAAGGATGTTTTAAACTTGGTTCTTTGGTAAAATAAAGATTCTGCTTAGTGCGTATCCATGTGTTATTTTGTACTTCACTTTAAAAAAAATCAGCATCTTTTCAGAAGTGTCCTCATTAGGTAGTCTGTGTGGAAGAGCTGTTGGCTACTCCATTTGCTGTCTTTCTCTGGGGAAAAGATGGACTGTGTTGTCGGTAATCTGAGAGCCCTGGAGGCTCTGAGGACAGTCTGTTCAGTTAATGTAAGTTGAGACTCCTAACAGAAGGTTTACATGTTGTCTGTTTTTACATGCTCCCCTGGAACACGGGATTACTGTAAAGTGTTTTGCTGATGAAGTTCTTTAACTCCCCCCACCCCCTTTTTTAGGAGGGAAGCACAAAGTAGTAAAGGAGAGGTGTTTCTTGAATGACTCACTCACAATGTACTTAAGTAGAAATTTAGGGAAGGCATCTTATCTGGTAAGCAGTAATATCCCACTGAAAGGATTGCTACTCATAGCCAAAAAACAGTCCTGTTGAACTTAAAATTAATTGGTGGGAGAGTGTGTGTGTGTGTGTGTGTGAGGATGGTTGTTGCTGTCCTTAATTTGTATTTGGCAGTTGGTAGGTCTTTAATGAGGAAAATTTGTGGTTCTAAAATTCTCTTACTTTATAACCTGCATAGGTTGATAGGACAATTTTGTGTTTTATGGCACAAAGTTTAATGACTGAATCAAAATCTGATTGACAATTGTAAAGTGAAATTCACTTCTGGGCATGCTCTCAGCTTCCAGGCCCTCTGTGAGGCGGGATGGATCCTTCTCTCCCCACGCTGTCCTTAGGACTGACCGACAAAACCAACACAATGTATTCGGATTCTCGTACAGAGTTTATGATGTCTGGAAGAGGGTTACTTAAAAAGGCATGCACCTGTGGGTTTTTTTTCCCTACATCTCAGCTGAACTTTTCAGATGGGCGGCTACCAGAGCACAGGCCAAGATGGCAAACTTCATGCCTCCCCAGCTTCCTCTGTGTCTCTCTTTAGGACCCCCCCCCCCGCCCATGCAACTGAAGCTGACTGATTGGGTGGGAGGGGTGACTGTCTCCCTCTCTTTCTACAGAGTCTCTTAGGGTTCGGACATCCAGCTGTTGCCAGTTCTTTTGGAGGACAGTCCTATCCTACAACAGTGGATATGAGGAGGTCACATGGATCCTGGGAAGTGGAAATGTGGGGTGGAATTTTGTTTCTGTGTGGCCTTGTCAGGAAGACTTTACCCTATTTAGCTTCACTCTGCTCTGTAGGTTCTAGAAGCCAAGGAGTAAGACTCAGCAGGTGAAAGACTGTTGGAGAACTTTTTTGAAGGCAAATAACTATTTTAAAATAATATGTATGTAAAACATAAAGCTCCAAATGCTGTAGGGGTGATTTTGCTCGTTGATAAATTTAAGAATTTAATGAGTTGGTTGTTCTGATTCAAATTCATTTTTTTCTTAGATGCCAATATCATTAATTTTTGCTATTACAAGGAAAGCTCTGATAATTGCTTGATTATCGTATAGCTTTTTCTGTCTTTGTGAGGGGGGAGAATGTACTTTTCAGATGCCCCCGTCAAGGTTTCCCCAAATTATAAAGACTCTGTATTTCAACCTCACAGAAGGTTTAGAATAAAATATTCAGTTCAGGAGTCCTTACTTGATGTAAGGTATTTGTTTTGTTCTTTTCCCCTGTGTAGCGGAGTTAGCATTTATCCTTGAAGTAGTGATTCGTGATTCTACACAGAACTGACTGGTCTGCTTTTAAAAGACAGATCAGATAGACAGTCTCCTAGTGCATCTTGTCTTGTTAGAATTGCTTCACTCCTTTTTGTCTGTGGCCTGTGTATACTAATGTATTGTGTTTAACATGCTTTTTTGTTCTTTTCCTTTATGTCTTTGGGTTAACTGATACAGCCAGTTTTCAAAGTGATTGTTCAGTTTTTGTGCATGAGCCAGGTAGGCAGTAAATCACAGTCTTGGTTGTTATCTTAGTGTTAAAAAGATTTAAACATGAAAATGCCTTTTCAATAAAAAAGGATATCTTTCTCATTTTTAAAGAATCAAACGGATTGAGATAGTTTTTAGAAAACTAATGCAGTGTGCAACAGAGGTGCATATGGGAGTAAAGAGCTTCACCCCTCTCTTTCTCCATTCCTCTTCCAGAATTGTTCAGAGAAATTCATAAACAGTTTTGGATTGTCCTTTCAGACCTTTCTTAGAGTACGTTTATTTAAGGCTTTTACCATATGTTTTGTTTAAGAAAGTTTTTAAAAATTACATAGAAACATGTTATAGCTTTGTGGAATTACCTTTATACCAGTGGCAGAATGTAAAACAACAAAGACAACAAAAGCAAAACCTCAAAGCTAAACATCAGCAGAACCGAAACAGCAAAGATCCACAAGTACTTGCCACAGACTATGGAGTGTCTCATGTTCCCAATCCCAAGATTACAGTCTCTGAATCCACTCATTGCATAATTGTCTGCAATTAATACGTTTAGAAGGACTTAGTATGTTCATTTAACTGATGCTTAGTTTCTTAAAGAGAAGTCATTATAAGGAATCCCCCTACAAACTATTTAGTAACATATTTTAAGATCCCTTATGTTGGGATTTGAAGAAAGATAGTTGCAGATAGAGACTGAAATTAACATGACTTTATGTTAGTATCACTGTTATACTTTTGAAAGTGTTTGTCTGTGGAAAGCTGCACCTTCTAACTTTTCTTTTACTCACTTGTTTTGTAAGACCAGAGGATTATATCTTTTCATCATTGGAAATAAATGGTTGTCTACTAATTAGTCACTCCCCAAGGGATTTCTAGCACATTATCAGAGCTTAGGGGCTCTGAGGCCACCTGCTTCTGCTGCTGTTCCCAGCACCTGGGCAGAGTGTATCTGGCTACTTAGAGTCCCTGTGGGATGACTGATTGTCATGCCCCCAAGGTCCAATTACTGTTGAAGCAGGATTCTGAGAGGCAACCCCGCCCTGTGACAGCCTAACATAATGAATGAATGTACCTTGATTATGATTTGCTGTGTTTCCATAAAGAAATTTTTTTAATTGTAGTGTTTATCTATACAAACCTGACACCCTTGTCAAAAAAAAAGACTGCTAATATAAATCCTGTTATTATGCTTTCCCCTTCCCTCAAGTGAAATGATGAACATCATTCATGTGGAATTTTAAGAAACTAAATGGAGGAGTTAGAACCTCTTTGGTATATACAGTCAGTCACTGGCTTCAAGGCAGCTTTAGGTGGCACCTTGCAGCTCAGTCATTGTGTTCTGATGTTTTCTCCTGTTTCAGTTGCAACAGCTACTCACAGACCTCCCTCACGACATGCTGGATGACGACCTCTCCTCTCCTGAGCGCCACAATTCTGACTGCAGTGAGGATGGCACAGAGGGAGAGTAAGGACCTGAAATTACTTCCTTCTGTGTATTTTACTCCATAAATCTTCCTTTATTCTTTGATGATAATAACGTAATCCTAAACTTTAGACTGATTCTTAAATTTTGGGTGAAGGTTGAAGGGAAAACAACAAATCATAAACAACAAACATTAGAGTCCTGGGGTTCTTGGTGTTATCTCTGTCCAAATAGTATAGACCTTAAGTCTAAAGTACCGATTTTTCTCAAGACAGCATCCTTCTGAGCAATCAGAAAGGAACTGGAATGAGCACCAGGTGCTGCCCAGGTCTCAGAATGTAAATGTAAGTATCTGCTGTGACCATGGTGCTGGTGGGATGGGGTAGTTCTTAGTGCTTTTGTTTTACTCTTGTTGTCTAATGGGCCTATAATGAAATTCAGGGCTTGTATGTTGGAGAGAAATGTGGCAATGGCTGGGAAGGTGATCCAAGTAAAGCTGAAGACGAACATCCTGGATTCCATCCTGAAGAAGGCGGAGATGAAGGTGGAAGTGGCTATAGTCCTCCAAGTAAACATGAGCTGACAGAGCTGTATCGCCTTCCTGAAAACTTCAGGCCATATACCAGTGGTCAGAAGCAGGAACTTCACAAGCAGTCAGCAAATGTAATTAAATTTTCAGATCCTCAAAGGAACAATTTCCAGGTATTATAAGAATTTGACTTTCAAGAGTTTGTATGTGTATACACACATTTGCATGGTGTTTATGTCTTTAAGAAATGTTTGTGAGGTAGGCATGGTGGCCCACACCTTTAATCCCAGCACTAGAGAGGCAGCTAGATTTCTAAGCACTTGAGACCATCTTGGTTTACAGTGATGAGTTCCAGGCCATCCAGGACTACATAGTGAGACTGTCTTTTAAAATAAGGATGCGGTTGCTGGAGAGATAGCTCAGTTGTTAAGAGCATTGGCTGCTCTTATAGAGGACCTAGGTTCGGTTCCTAGCACTTGCGTGGCTGCTAACACCCATCTGTAACTTCAGTTTCAAGGGATCTGATGCCCTTTTCTGGCCTCTGTGGATATTACGTGCATAAAATACACTTACACACATGCAGGTAAACACTCATACACATAGAATGAAAAATAAAATTTTTGTTTTTGTTTTTGTTTATTGAGACAGGGTCTCCCTAGCTAGCCTGGAACTCACTATATATACCAGGCTGTCCTCGATCTTACAGATTTACTTGTTTCTGTCTCCCGAGTGCTGGGATCAAAGACATGTGCCATCACGCCTTGCTAACAAAATAAAATTTTAAAAAAGAAATGTGAATTTAACAGTAGGATGATTTACAACAATTTCTCAGAATGTACTTACTCAGGTTCATGGTAAATTAGGCATGCTATTTTCTGTTTATAATTGAATACATTTGTAATGTTAAACCTGATGTTTAAAATAGAAGCTTTCTGCAAACAGTTATTTAAACATTAAAGATAAAGAATAATTTCTCATTTATTGCTGCTCTGGCATCTGCCTTGACACTGCTTCAGTGAGAAGCCATGTTTAGGTATCTTCATAGAGGTTTTTAGTTTTTTTTTTTTTTTTTTTTTTGGACCATTTCCCTGTAGCATCACCTGGCCTGGAAAATG